TCACGGTCTCTCCTGCCCGGGCTGGCTTTGAACCGCGATCCTCAGATCTCAGCCTCCTGAGTAGCTAGGATTACAGGCGTGAGCCACCAGCGCCCGGCAAGACGCTGATCTTCTGGGTGTGATTTCATTCTGCTTTGGGACAGTGCTTGGCCTGCGTGGTATCTCGTTTTTCAGTGTGACTGCAGTGGGGACAGGAACACAGGTAGACCTGTGTGCCAACAATGATGAATGTGCACATTGGTTCACTGCTTCTCTCAGATACATTTTTCTGGAATATGCGGCCCCTGCCCATGCTGTGGATGCTGTGAAAAATGCCGATGGCTACAAGCTGGACAAGCAACACACGTTTCGGGTCAACCTATTCACCGACTTTGACAAGTGAGTTCAGGCTTGCCTGGAATCCCTGCCAGTAATATGAAATAAGCCACTTGCGGATGATTAGTGGCCCTTCACTAGGTGCTGCTGGCTGGGAATTGCTTGTCTGGTGTTGTCCACATGAGACCAGCAGTCTTATGCCTTTCCCCATGTTCTGTGCCAGCAGCACCCCTCACCCATAATCAGCAAGTAGACATGTGTTCTTTCCCGCCACGGGAATGAGCAGGGAGGCACAGTGCTGTGAGCCTCATCCCATCCTCCAAGCAGCTCAGCAGTGCTAGTTCTCTTCCAGGTATATGACCATCAGTGACGAATGGGACATTCCAGAGAAACAGCCTTTCAAAGACCTGGTAAGTTGTATACAATCTGTTTCCACAGTTCAAAGGAATGCTGACTTTTAACTTGAAGTTGGAGATGATATCATTAACTGTCATGGGAATTCTAAGTACAGTCGTTACAAATGAGTTCTTTGGTTAAAAGAATGAAATGGAGAGCCAGGCGCTGGTGGCTCATGCCTGTAATCCTAGCTACTCAGGAGGCTGAGATCTGAGGATCGCGGTTCAAAGCCAGCCCGGGCAGAAAAGACTGTGAGACTCCTATCTCCAATAAACCACCAGAAAACCAGAAGTGGCACTGTAGTTCAAGTGGTAGAGCGCTCGCCTTGAGCTGAAGAGCTCAGGGACAGTGCCCTGGCCCAGAGTTCAAGCTCCATGACCGACCAAAAAAAAAAAATGTAATGGAGCTAAGCACTGGTGGCTTACACCTGTAATCAAGGCCCACTGAGCCACTCCTGTCCCCATCCCACCCTGCCTCCTAATTCATCATGTAAATATTGTGGGGTTCTATTGTCTCTGTTTGCTTTGTGATTATAAGCAGTCTAAGCCCATGTCCTGCTCTTGAAGGGTGGTAGAGAGTGTCGAGTACACCCAGG